AAAACATCATAATTCTGGACTTCTCTAAGTTAGAAGAAAGAGAAAGCCTTATCACCCATAGATCTTAGATGTGTTTGAGGAACAACCAACAAGTTTGACTGAGAGGAACGCAATCTACGACTAGGAGTGTAGAGTAAGGTAATGTGGTGCCAGTCCATGTAATGCTTTAAAAGTAAGAATCATAATTTTGAAATCCACTCTAAACCTGACCCGGAGCCAGCAAAGATTCTAACACTGGAGTAATATGACTGCCAATCCTAGTCCCAGTTAAAATCCTGGCCGCTGAATTTTGTACATATTGCAACTTATTAAGTGTAGATTTAGAAGCTCCGGCTAAAAGAGCGTAACAATAGTCTAACCGTGAGATGACAAAGGAATTTATCAACATTTCCGCGACTGTAAAATTTAACATTGGGCGCAATCTTGCGATATTTCTGAGGTGGAAAAAAAGAGGTTTTAACAATGCTCTGGACAAAAGAATCAAAAGACAGATTTGCATCAAAAATAACTCCAAGGTTCCTCACTCGACTCTGGATTTCCAAAACAGAGCCGTCAAGAGTCAGGGACAGACAACCAGCTTTAGAAATTTGATAACGGGAACCAATGAGCATAACTTCAGTTTTACCACTGTTCAAACACAAGAAATTAGTATCCATCCATATTTTAATCTCAGTAATGCAGTCAGACAAATAAGCAACGTCAAGGCGCTCATGAGGTTTTGAATGTATATAAATCTGCGTGTCGTCGGCATACAAATGATAATGAAGGCCGAGCGATCTCAAAAGGTGTCCTAAAGGTAACAAATAAATGTTAAAAAGTAAAGGACCTAAAACTGACCCCTGAGGGACGCCAGTTGAGACAGAGCTAATCTCAGACCTATAACCACCCATAGAAACAAACTGGGAGCGGTCAGTAAAATAAGACCTCAACCACCTTAAGGCAATCCCAGACACACCAAACACTCTTTCAAGACAAGTAAGTAATAGACTGTGATCCACAGTATCAAATGTGGCTATTAGATCAAGAAGAATAAGAATAGATGTTGCACCAGAGTCAGAAGCTATCAACAAATCATTGGTGACCTTGACCAAGGCCGTCTCAGTACTGTGAAATCTACGAAAACCCGACTGAAGACGTTCAAAAAGATTATTAACTGTGAGATGATTACACAAATGAGAGGCAACAATAAGCTCAAGTAATTTTGCCAAAAACGGGAGGTTTGAAATAGGACGGAAGTTATTGAAGTCGTCCAGTGCAACATTTTATTTTTTGGGTACAGGGGTTACAGCAGCAATCTTTAATGCTGCTGGAACAACCCCAGTCTGTAAGGAGTCATTTATAATACTGAGAACAGCAGGACACAAAGCATCAAAGCAAGATTTAAATAAGCTAGTGGGAATAGGGTCAAGCAAGGAAGTGGTAGATTTCATGCTAGATACCTCCCGTTTAAGAGTCTCAGTATCAAGTTGAGGAAAGTTAATAAGAAGAACACCAGTGAACTCAGGTGAACAGTGACATGAGGTAGTAGAAATAGTTGAAACAGAAATTTGTTTACGAACATTATCGACTTTTGAATTGAAAAAAATGAAGAAATGAATTACATAACTGCTGATAAATAGGCATGGTAGAAACAGCATTAACTTGAATCAGACAATTTATAGTTTGAAACAAGTGTCTCGGGTTTCCTTGGTTGTTTTCAATAGTCTGAGAAAAATAAGATTTAATTAGTGCTCTTAATTAGTGCACCCAGAAGATCCTTCCCAGCTAGACAGTATACATTCAAGCCAGTGAGATTCCATTTATGCTCCGTTTTCCGACAGGCAGCCTTCTTAGTGTGCAGATTATTCCATGGAGCAGAACGAGCAAAAGTAACCTTGCGTGTCCTCAGAGGAGCAAAAGTGTCTAACTTAGCAATAAGAGTATTATTCAACTGTGAATCTTTCTCGTCCAACGATGTTAAATGCAAATCACCTGGAAACAACAGAATTCTAAAAAACTGTTTGATCAATAGATTTCCACTTCCAGAATGTTACAGTTCGAGTGGTACACACACTCGGTCGATGTAATTCCAAATCAAAGAAGACAGTTGAGTGGTCCGACAGACCAATGTCAGCGGATGATAACTGAGATGCAAATGACCCATTTGTAAGCACAAGATCCAGTGTATGACCTTTGCAATGCGTCAGACTTGTTACCAATTGCGAAAAGTTAAATCAGTCCAGTAATGATAGAAATTCCTTTGCCATTACAGAGTCACTTTGGTCCACATGAATATTGAAGTCCCCCACAATAAGGATTCTATGGAACTTCGGGGTCAGCACTGTCAAAAAGTCAGCAAAATCAGACATAAAAGCTGCATGTGACTTAATTTTAGGCGGTTTATAGACAGTGGCAATGATTGTAGAAATAGAGGCAGAGACACTTAAGACCAAGCACTCAAATGTAGAAAACTGAGGAATGGTCACAGCACTGACGTTGAACTGCCGATTGTAGACAGCAATAATTCCACCACCTCTGCCAGATGACCTCGGGAGATTTAAAGTTCCAAAACCAGGAGGAGTAATCTGATTAAACAGTAGTCCATCATCTCCTTTATGCCACGATTAAGTTAAAAACAGAAAGTCCAAGTTTTGATCAGAGATGAGATCGGCTAAAAGCAGCGCCTTATTATTCACAGAGCGGGCATTAAACAATGAAGCATAGATCTGGCTATGCGATGACGACGGCAGTGATTTATTCTCCACGCAGGGGACAGATATTGAATTTCTATGATCAACACCAGTGGAAGGCAAACAGTTAATCTTACACTGGCATGTAGTGACAAAATTATAAAAAGATTGTGAGAAGAATCGGTGGGCGGGGCTGAACAGGCAGTGATGTAGAATCGGTGGGCGGGGCTGAACAGGCAGTGATGTAGAATCAGTGGGCGGGGCTGAACAGGCAGTGATGTAGAATCGGTGGGTGTGGCTAAACAGGATGTGATGTAGAATTGGTGGGCGGAGCTAAACAGACAGCGATGTCGAATCGGTGGGCGGGGCTAAACAGGCAGTGATGTAGAATCGGTGGTTGGAGCTAAACAGGCAGCGATGTCGAATTGGTGGGTGGGCTTATATAAGCAGCAATGTAGAAGCAGGCGTTGATGATCTTCTGCGGAGGCGGTGCTTATCCACACTATTCCATTATAGAGTGGTACATTCCCAGAGTTGTCGTTTTGGCAGACTGCCTTCAATATAAGCTGTTTTTAGACTAATGAGGCAGTTTTGAGTTCTGAAACGTACAGGATGTTTTTACATCACAATGACCTCTTATATGTCAAACGATCAAGGGAATTTTGATTTCTCAGTTCATGACCCCTTTAAAGAAGAAACCAACACTGGCATGTAGTGACAAAATTATAAAAAGATTGTGAGAAGATGAGACAAAAAGGCTGCGCCTCGAGCCCCGATGTATGTATCGTTTAGGACGCGGCAAGCCAGCATCTTGACAAGAATGGTAAAAGTCTTTAGGTAAACGATAAGAAGACCGCCGCAAATTAATCCAAGTGGAGTGCAGAAATAAAAGCAACAGTCCAAAGCATATAAAATGGCATAACCTCATCGCAGCCGCAAGAGTGCAGAAAAAAAAAAGAATAAATAAAAATAAAATAATATAGCCAAACAAGGATGGTAAGAGGAGTGGCAGCCAAACGCGCCAGCGTTCCCTCAGCAGCACCGGTATTTAAACGACATACACTGGTATTGCGGTATTTTAAAAATTCATATCATAAGAAAAATAAACACCGGTATTCGGTATGCCACAGTGGCGGAGGCTTCTTCTGCGGAGGCGGTGCTTATTCACACTATTACGTCATAAAGTGGCAAATTCCAAAAACGTTGTTTTGGCAGATTGGTTTCAATATAAGCTGTTTTTAGACTAATGACAAAGTTTTGAGTTCTGTAACTTACAGGATGTTTTTATAGTACAATGACCTCTTATATGTCAAATGATCAAGGGAATTTTGGTTTCTCAGTTCACGACCCCTTGAATCTTGAATTGAATGCTGAAAAGAGCCCCCTCATTAAGCTGGCCCTGAGCTCCACAAACAGACTGATCAGACTAACACGACTAATAATAACCAGCCTCAGTTCACTGACGCCCTCATCCACAGAGTCCGGCCAACAAAACCATTCATGCACAAAAAGAAAACTACCTAGCTTATTGGAATGAATATGCTGAAAAAAGTGAAAAAAGAGACTGCATTTCTCTAGCGGCAGGGTACATTAATGCCTGCCACAAACAGAGGGAAAAGTTGACCCATGTAGAATTGACAGCACTGCGACCATGTTTATCTTGCTCATATAAATGCTTCAGCAATACGCTATTCGGATTTGAGAGACAGAGAGAAAGAGAGAGACAAAATAAAAGCATAAGAGACACCTATTTCATCCAAATAGCTCAAGTTTTCCCTGAATTCCAGCAAAGTAGAGAAACTGTGGTATATTTTGGGAGAGAAGGAAAAGTGTATCCACCTGCAGCGCAGTATGTGTCCTCCTGCTAAACTCTCTTCTCCATTCATCACGGCTCTCTGTGTGCATTTACTTTGTCTTTTTTTTAAGCATATATGTATAATATGGACATGTAGATGTGTTTCTTTTTCCCCCTTTTATTGTTTTCTGAGTGTGTGTTTATGACTCAAATCTTGATTAGATAATTAGATACTTTACTGAGAACAACAGAGGCAGAAGATTATTAAGGCAAAACCTCTAAAAAGTAATTTTTTAATTAATATCAACTAAAAACTGCATACAATCAATACATCAAGCTGACTGTTAGCCAAGCTAACATTCTGTGGCAGTTTTTCTGCAGTGTTTTTGTGTGTTGTTGTGTTGTTACACTTCAGCATCATCAACAGAAAGAGAGAACAATAATGTGGTTTGACATGAATGTCACGCTCACAACCTTCAGTGGTTCATGACATCTTTATAAAGATCAGCAGAAGAGAAGAAGCATGCTGTACTCACCCACGAGAGACGAGTCTCCTACAGACAGACAGACAGACAGAGAGAGAGAGAGAGAGAGAGAGACGGGTTTAGCGCTCGTGTTCATCCATCAGCTCTTACACTCACCTGAAAACATGCACTGCTCATATCAGAACACAAGTTTCTTTATTAATAAGTAACACAATTTTCAACCTGGCACATCAATATTACTTATGGTTTATGCCTTTAAACGGTTCTCAGTCCCCAAACAGAGCATCAAGGTCAAAGCAGATTGACATTAAACAGTAAATACATGAACACAGTCAACAAAACACTGGATTTCATTTCTGTAAATATTCAGGACACGACTGAAAATAAAATAGAGTACAAAATAAAATAAATAAAAATAACAGAAACATAGATTCAACTAATTTAAAATAAATCCACATAATTTGAGTTATTACACAGACATCTCTGTGAATATTCATGATAAGGCTGAAAAAACACAATCTGAGTAAAGGCATGGATTTCATCTCTACAAATATTCACGGTCGGGCAAACAAACAAACAAAAGAAACAAACGAATAAATAAATACAATGAAGTACAATTCAAGGAATTAAAAAAATCAATTCAACAAATTTATACTACATCCACATGGTTTAAGTAACAAGCTGCTATTTAAAATATTTGTGAGCAGAACTGATATCAGTGATACAAATCCAGCCATCATACTGACGATAACTGAACACTCAGCAGAACAACACTGACTCTGGATCCATCAGAGCACGCACACACACAAACACACACACACACACACACACACACACA